CAGTTTCGTTCTCGATCATATAGCGGTTGGTGGATGTGTGACACATTATGGATGGAACTCACTCTGCTTTAGAAGGTGTCGCTGCTGGTTTGCCAGTGGTAACTTGGCCAGTTTTTGCTGACCAATTTTGATACCATTAATTGATGAATTACTAGAGGAATTAATGGGTTCACCAGTCTTCTCTAAAATTGACCTGAGATCAGGTTATCATCACATTACGAGGCTGGTGGGGATTATGTGAAGGGTGAAGCAATGGATAAGGCAGTGAAGGAGATAGTGGTAGGTGAGAAAGCAGGGGAAATGAAGTGTAGAACAAATATTCTTTGGGAAATGGCAAGGAAAGCTTTTGAAGACGGAGGCTTGTGTTACAATGATTGAAGAATTGAGCCTTGATCATGCTCAAGGATTGCAAGTTGCCACTGTCGACACTGTTACCATGGGTGAAAACTCACTAGGAAAAGAAGGGTCGGGCCCTTTATTTTATCAAAATGCTCATAATAGCCTTGACAGTTTATCAGTTCAAATACGCCCCCCTGTTGTTTAGACGCTCACCCCTCGTGATTCTTGAAAATTGTCTGTCAGTTCATAGCATTATTTCTGGTATAAATCTTCCTGCGTTTTTTGTTGTTTGGATTTCAGTACAACTTTTCTCGAATACAGAATTAGCCCGAGGTCTATTGCAAACCAGCATATGACACAGATATCGACGGCCCAAAAAATCAACCCACTACAATTCCCTGTTTTTCCTAAATCACAACATCTCAAAGCAAGATCCAAAACTTCGTCATTATTTTTCTTCTAAAATAAAACGTGACATCAAATTGATAGTGTCCTGGGCCGAGTTTTAATGGGATCTCTGAAACTTTACAAGCAATAAAGCGAAACATCCGCTGTCCTGTTAAATTGATTTGCGTACTCGGGTGGAATCAATAATGAACCTTGAAACATTTTTTTAAGCTTATTTGAACACTGAGAAAAGCATATTGAAACTGAATACACGCCCACCGCACCTCCGCCATGACCCAATATTATTACTACCATGATGAGTTTTGCAAGATATGGCAACCTCAAAGTGGTCCAACTAGCTTCAATACGATAATCATTTGTTGACAGGTGACAGGCACCATTTTATTCTAGCCAGCTCAACTTAGCGACAGGGACGCCTTTATTAAAAAAGAAGGAACATAGGGTTCGAGGAAAGCATGTTATTATTAGCGAAAAGATGAGACAAATGGTTGTTAGCCACCAGATTTTATTAAGAGCTGCATGCCGATGGCCCAGCTATTCAGCGTCCTGTACCCTTAACCTCTGAGTGGGGATTTGATATTTTGATTCTAATGTGAAGATAGATTTTGAAATCCTGCGCCTGCCACCGGCCTCCAGGGGGGTGACATGCCAACTCTCTTCTATCTTATAATTTATAGAAGAGAAAAAAATGCAGACCATGAAGCCATTTGTGAGTAGTTTAGGATTTCGTGTTGCTTGAGTCGTTCTTGTGTTGGTTTGCCAGGGGGGTGACATGCCAACTCTCTTCTGTCTTATAATTTATAGAAGATAAAAAAATGCAGACCATGAAGCCATTTGAGAGTAGTTTAGGATTTTGTGTTGCTTGAGTCGTTCTTGTGTTGGTTTATTATATTAACAGGTAAAGTGCATTTGAGCCAGTTTTAAAAACAGGTTGAGTGAAAGATTAATTAATTAGCAACTTCCTGCTTCTACCTTCGTTTGACACCCCATTAACTCATCCCATACGGAACGTTGCTCTCTTGAACAGAAGGTGAACTGAACACGATTACAAAAGGGTTTTTAAGATTTTATTAGCTATTACAGTTTCTTAAAAAGATTTATTTAAAAATATATTAGTTATTTAACTCATATTTCAGAACAGGTTAGAATTTTTTATCTCGACAAGAAGATTGAACATGCAGGTATATCATATATGTAACATGTTTTTCTACATAAATAATATCAAGTATCATTATGTACATATATAATAAAATAAATGGAGAATTATCTATGTTAATAAATAAAAAACATTATTAATAATAATTAAATATATATATTTAAAAAAATCAAAAGTAGATATACAAATCAATATATTTGATCTTGCAATAGAGTCTATTTAAATAATTATGTTTAATAACTTTGTTTATTCAAATTATTTTTAAAATAAATTTTTTTAAAAAAAATATCTTGTAAGGTCTATAATCTAGCAATAAATTTTTTTATTTTTAAAAATAAATTTTAATTATATAAAATATATAAAAATTATCAATGAATTAGAATAATCTCTTTAAAAATTAATTGCATACAAAATAATTAAAAAATAGCCTCTATTTAAAAAAGGCTAAATACAAAAAATAAAAAATTAAAGAGAAAGAACATTAATATCAATTTAAATTGATAAATTATTTAAAAAGACATCGTTTGTTTAAAAAAAGTATATTATTTTTTTAAAAAAAAAGAAAAAAAAACATGTGGATGGGCCTATACAAGCAAGCCCATGGGAGGGCCCATTTTAAAAAAAATTCAATTGCTATCCCAATATTTTTTGGAAATAAATTCTTGATGATACATCTCATAATTTCAAGATTCTAGTCATTATAGTATCTGGAAACCATGGTCTATGTTTTATTGACCTTAAGTTCTATTTTCAAACTGATTTGAACTCAAAACAAATACGAATAGAGAATAGTCTAAATATTTTGATAAACTCAAAAAATTACTTTAAAAATAATATAAAAACCTAAAACAAACTCTTCTTAATCTTAAATTTAATTTTTAAGGAAATTTGAAGGTGTCAAAAACATTTAAGTTGAACTCTCTTTACTAAATAGAATATTTAGACAACAAAATTAAGCTCCATTTTCAAAGTAATTTTAATTCAAAACAAATAAGAATAGAAAATAGTATAAATATTTTGATAAACTCATAAAATTACCTTAAAAATAATACAAAAACCCAAAACAAACTCTTTTTGATCTTAAATTTAATTTTTATAGGAAATTTGAAGGTGTCAAAAACATTTAAGTTGAACTCTCTTCACTAAATAAAATATTTAGACAACAAAATTGAATATTTTTGTGGTAGGAATTGCCAAATCAGTGTCAACGCTGCTTTTTTCTTTCTATTATTAGAATCCAACATACCATCTTTCTTTCATCTCTTAAACTATATATTAAGAAATTAAAAAAATCAAATTATATACTAAAATTGAATTTAAAAACTATTAAGAGATCAAACATGTATAATCTGTAAAATTTAAGAACTAAAATAATTTTTTTTGTGATAACTTTGAAAGCATTATCTATTTATGGTGCTTGTTTTTACTTAGATCCTTCTTATTTTAATTTTATGTTTAATTAATAAATTTGATTTGATTGTTCTTTAATTTTGCCAAAAAAAAGGATGTATTTGTGCAAATTAAAAATTCAAAAACTAAAATGAAAAAAAATAAAAGTTCTCAATAATATGTACACGTTAATATATGAGGTGAACAGTGGAAGCATGCCTAGTTTTCATACCATATCGATTAGAGTCTTTGTAGTAATTTATTATTACTGTTCAATTCGATCCCTTCTGCTCGCCACCAAATGCTCTAATTTAGAATCTGCCAAGCTTATTTCTTCCATACTAACTGTAATTTACTGTTCAGAGTTGAGACAGGAAAAAAAATGCTGCAAAATATTTAACAAATAAATTTCATATTTATTACAACTCTTTTGAGTCACCATCAATGGAGTCATTTACAAATTCCAATCGGAAAGACGTCCACACACATATAAAACACTGTTTATTTTCACATTTCAAGAATATTTTTTTATTTTTTACTATAAAATAATGTTTTTAAAATTTTCAGATTATTTTAATATAATTAAATATTAAAAATAATTTTTTAAAAAAATATTAATATAAGAAACAGTTTCATACTATACAGTTGCGTCTTCGAAGCAAAAACAAAAAAAGAATAGGGGGCACAATAATTGTCTGGCTCCTCATTTCTAATCTCAGAAACAACCACCTTTCTTTTTGTCAATGTTAACATTATTTCTCGGTGGTTGTTGACACAGTAACGACCATAACTGAATAACACCGTCAATCACGGACTCAAAGGCTTCTCATCATTGCTTTCGAGACTATCTATTTTCACTCTCGAGAGAGAGAGCTTCCCTTTTCCAATAACATAAGTGGAGGTTGTGTTTTCTTCCTCTCTTTTTACAATTTCTTTAATGGACAAGCTCAGATTTGTCCTCAAATTCATTGACACAAGATCTCAAGAACACCTCTGTTATATCGATGTCATCAGAACCTCACAACTGAACAGTTTTTCGAGGACAACATTTTCATAGAAAATATAATTCGAGACATGCACTTTACCAAACCGATGATGTATTTTAAACTCGGTGCATCAAAAACTTGTAAGGGTCTACTGAAATTCAGTTATAGAGACTGCTTTTAACGTGGTAATAATTATTTTTTAAGATATTTTTATTTAAAAATATATTGAAATAATATTTTTTATACAAATACATGAAAACTATTTAAAATCACTTAAAAAAATAACTTTCAAATTTCTTGAAATCGTTTCTCCACCACAAGGCTCGTAATGTGTCGTGTGGTATTTAATATGCCAATATAAAAGTTCCATATGATGGTGAAAAGGATAGCATCTCCATCACGATAACAACAGAAATGCTAGTTTAGCGATGAAGGCCAATTTAGCAAGTACAAGTCATTGCAGCCTTTTCTTTCCTTTTCTTGCTCTTCGACAACAGGGGCATGATATTGCGTGAGCAAGCCCCCGAGTTTAAAAAATTCTCAGTTCGGCTGGGTTTGAGATGGTATGAAATCAATATAAATATATATATATGGCTTGGTTAACAATATATAAATTTATATACATGTTGTTTTCAAAGAATAAGACAGAATAAAATATAACAAGTATCTAATTTATCTTTTTTTATTTGCTTCGAGAATAAGACATCTGCGCAAGAACTGTCCCATATAAAATCTGCATAAAAATATAAAAGAAACTATTGTTACGATGTGGATTGGAGGAAAAAAGAGTTCACCTCAAACCAGCTTTATTCCATACGTTTTATCCGTTCCACGTCTCCTCAGGAAGCCATTGCAAGTTGCACACTGACTGGTATGATCTTGGTCCATCCCTAATCATATAAGAAAAAAAAAAACGCATTATAGGAAAGCAGATGCACTGCAAATACAAGAAATACTGATGAGACAGGGAATGAATGAAAATTCACTTCCCCCGAAAAAAATAACATCAAGGAAAATTCTGCAGTAAAGAATGAAAGAAAGGACGAAAAAAAATGAAAAAGGACAGAGAAGAAAGGAAAAGGTAAAAATCTGGCAATGGATTACAACTCACAAAAGATTAGTCAAGCAATCAATGGAGACCCCCCCAAAAAAAAGTATGATTAAAAGAAACTACTCGGACGAAAGAAACTGAGAGTTCAACTCGGATATGAATTACAGTGAAATGCTAGGCATATATAACAGTGACAGGGACTGTGAAATTGGTAGGTAGCATCGAAAAACAAGCAATGAGTAATTTACTGCACTTTCTGACGGAAAATAATGTTCTTAGGTAAGTATTATTAAACTCTTTCCAGTCTAGAAAAAACGAACATGACAAGCAAGGCAGGAAGAGCAATGCCTGTTTAAGTTGTGAGAATTGCTGAATTTTCTGGTTTTCTAACAATGGGCACTATCCCCCACTTGGTCCCAGGTCTCCTATACCATGGACAATGATGGTGATTTAGGTAAGCAGGGGTCTCTATATTTATGACATGCAAGGTTTGCGATGGACTGGGTTTATCACTTATGCACTGTCAATCTACAAACAAATCTATTAAGCTGATTCGAGAAACACAGGAAGAGAATGACATTTGTGTTACACATGACATACCAAACTTTGATATGTCAACTTAACAGAGAACAAGTTTTTGCTTGATGGTGTAAAGGAACCAATTCAAACCTTTTTATATTGACAACACGTATGAAAGTTTGAGAGGGAAGAAGAATTCGAGTAGAGAAATAATGAAATCAATCGAAAGTTTGAGAGATTGAGATGAGAGAGAGTGAAATTTTCCACCTTTGACAGATGGAATTGAGAGAGGAATGGGAAAGAATGGTATCCGTTCGCCGACAATTGAGGAAGATGGTAGAGGCTACATTTGATCTAGCGTTTTGTACTTGCAGCTCATCCCATTACTGGGAAATTATCAATTCGACTGAAAAAATACATTTAATAAATTATGATAATATTTACTGATGGAAAAAGTTATGTTGGTGTATACAAAAAAAATAAAAATTACTGTAGAATTCAAAGAATAAGAAAAAATAAACAAGTGTTCTCTCATTAATTTTATTGGCAAATTTAAAGTGTCAATATACCCTATAAAATTACCAAAAATAATTAATCTTCATTGCTAATTTCTATGAAGGAATTTATTGGTAATATTAAACTTATAACTAGTAGCCGAACCCCCTCTCTCCCTTTCACTTGTTTCTTCATCCACCTTCCTTCTTTTTTAAAAAAAAAAAAAAAACCATCACCCTCTCTTCTATTTTATTATAAATCCAGCTCTTATCTTCACAAAGAGACACTCCAGCACTTAATTTTTTAGCATTATTATTCTTGTCTGTTTTTTTTTTTTAAGATTCATCGTGTCAGGTAGATAAATTTATCTATTTTTTATTATAACTCATTTTTTATATTAATTTTTTGGTATTTTATGTAATATATATGGTTTGTTTATATGTTTATTTGTTTTATAGCTTTTTCTAGAAAAATTCATTGTATAATTTGTACATGTTAAAATTTATTTGATATTTTAAAAAACCTTTTTTTTTGTTATTTGATGAAATTAAATTTTATTTTGTAACTTAAATATGTTGTAATTAAAGAAATAATAAGTTATTTAATCAGCATGCTTTACATCCACTATGATCACAGATACGTAGATAGATCATAGTGTCTCGACTATTAATACTCTAGAATTCGAATTAAACCATCAATCGATATCTTATAAAAACAAGTTCAAGATAAGACATCTACAATGAGGAATAAATAGAATGTTATTGAGTAGCTGCTAACAACTTTCATTGGTATTTATGCTCCACCTCTTCACTCTTTTATCAAGATATATAAATTGTGTTTAATTTTTTTAAAAAAAATTAACAGTATGAATTTATATTTATATTTTATTTTTATCTTGTTTTAATTTTTTAAATTGTATAAATCATTTTAATTTTTTAAAATAATTAAATATCATATTGATGAAATTAACATTGATTTATTCTGTTGGTAATATATACATAAATATAATTTTTTAACAGATTAATTTTATTGATAATATACATATAATTACTGATAGATTTACTATCTATTTATTATGTCGGTAATATGCATATAAATATAATTCTCCAATAGATTAAATACATTACTAATATATCATAATCATTAATAGATTTATAATTGGAATTATTACTACTAATTTTTTTTATTTATTGTGATAATTCTACCGATAATTATATTCATGATAGAATAAAAAACATCAACAATGATATTATTATGTTTGTTATTTCATTGATAATTATATTTTTTCCAATCTAATTAGGCTCTGCATACTGATTGAATATTTCATTGGTTTTCTGCTATTTTACACGTGTCCCCTCTCTATGGTTTTTGTTGTTGAAACTTCCTTTCTCGCTTTGTTTTGTTCACAAATCACTCATATATGCGTTTCTCCATACGGCTCTCTTGCAAGCTGGTCAACATTGTAAGCAGCGGTGATTAGTGATCCCGAAGTGAAGAGTGATCCACCGAGCAGGTAGTTTGGATCTGAACATTGCATGCGCTTACAGAGATTGTGCACATAAAATTATTGACAATCCTCAAACAATATAACATGAAGAGGCAATGAAGTGTAATTAGATATTAATATAAGTTAATTTAATATACAAACAAATTTTTCATACAAAAATCTTATACAAAAACATATAAGATATTTACCTTTTTCTCATAGAAATCAATCTTTCAAAACTTATCATGGGTTTCTTGGTCGTTTCCTTGCTGAGAATATTATTCAACCGCATAAAAAACTATTATTAGATTGCCTTAATTATTATCTTGAAATATAAAAAATAAAAATAATAAAAATAAAAATGATAAGATAAATATACACACACACACAAATAAAATTATGTTTGATAATAATATATAAAATAAAGTAACTATTTTTTGTTTGATTATAATGGATAAAATAAAATAAAATATAAAAAAATTAGTTTACATTTAATATATATTGCTATCAGATTTATATATTTAAAAAATAATTAGATATAATTTTTATTTTTTTATTTTTTATTGAGAAATAAAATAAATAATATTATAATAATTTTTATTATAAAAAAAAATTAATACGCAGATTAACCTAAACCAAGCGATTTAGAATCTAAATTAATCCATGTTTAAAAAAATAAAAAAAATGTTACTTTGATTTAATTTAATAAAAAACTCAAATTTATCCGGAATAAAATATTGGTCCAAAATAAGTTGATTTTTTTAAAAAAGAACATTGAAATTTAAAAAAAAAGAACAATTGGTCAAAATAATCCTTCTTACAACTCTTATCGTGCCCAAAACGGCGACGGTACTCCAACCAAATGTCAGGGCTCTAAAACTTCAAACAGAAATGTCAGTTATGTTTTCATATTAGTCCCTGGATAGTTGAGAATTAAGACTAGACCCTCATAATATATCATATATTTCTAACGTGGCGGTCCAGAAATTCAGTCCACCCTACGACCCTACTCCCTGTCCCATGGAATTTCAGTTAACGAGTTTTTAGTCCAAGTCATGCTCTAGAGGAATTCGGCACGAGTTACAATCCTCCCAACGCTCTTGTAATAAGGTAAAATTGTGCGTTTATGCACGCAATAACTTGGCAATTTCTAATGTACAATATAATACGGTTCCTTTGTAACATTTTGAGTTCAGTTTTGAGTTCAATATTTAATTTATCTACCATATCAAGGCAATATGAAAACGAGTCTTTAAAATTGTTATAAAAAAGATATATATATATATATATATATATATATATATATAGCGTGCGGTTTTATATATATATATATATATTTATATATATCGTGCGGTTTTTTTCTTCTTATTTAGTTCTAATATTTCATGTTCCTTAATTTTAAATATATAGTTAAACTTTTTAAATATTTTCAATTTAATTCTTGAATTATTATTCAAAGTTTATGTAGTATTATTTTTTTTTAATTTAACCTTTATTTTTGTATTGATTTTTTTTTTGTTGAAGTTTATTTTTTTAAATTAACCCTTCAATTTAAATTTTTTTTTTATGGCATCTAATTTATTTTTTATTTCAATTTTCTTCTTTATTTTTTTAATCATAATTTTTGTATGGCTTTTTTGTATGGTTTCATCTTTCATTTTTTAGCTTTTAATTTAATAAGGAATAAGCTTTAGAGTTTTTTTTTTTTTATTTATGATGCTTCCTATTTATTGACATGAATAATAAGTTTGACAAATTCATATAATTCAGAATTTTTTTAAAATTTTATATGATTTTATTATTTATCATTATTAAAAAAATAATTTTATAGTTATTTTTAATTTTTTCTATAATGATTTATCCTGATCTTATGGTCTAAACAATAAATTTTTTTAATAAAGTTTTTTAAAATAATTTTATTTGTATTTAATTTTTAAATAATTATTTTTATTTTAAACTATAAGATTTATTTTATAAAAATAATATTTACTCAAAAATAATATTTGTTATATATTTTGTCTTGTATAATATTTTTTATTTTATTCCATCATTTCCACATATGTTTATATTTTTATTATCTCCTATTAATTTTAATAAATAAATTCAATAAATATAAATAAATAAATATTTCATCCAGTAGAATCATCTGTGTTGTAAATCATAGCTGGCAACATTGCTGCAATACCAGATGCACAACGAAATGCTCTAATGAAGCACTGCCCTTTATGTTGGAGAGAGAGAGAGAGAGAGAGGGAGGGGGAGGGAGGGGGGGGGAGAGAGAGAGGCATACTCTTAATTACATTTCCAAAAACAAGGAAATTACCGGCTTCTTCTGTAGTTGTTTTCTATCTGGTAGGTATTGAACACAATCGTATCCACCTCACAAGTCATAATTTTTTTTGCTGCACTGGCAGGAATTACATCTTACCAACAATGGCATCCCATCCACCAGTCACCTTTTTTCCCTAACGTATGTAATAAATCTCTCAATGTATTACTGCACGATATTCAAAACAATATCGTGCCAATCTGCTGTTAGCCTGTCTTTTCCTTCCCTCCATTGTTTTTTTAGTTTCTTCGTAAGTTTCCAAACCTCTTAATGGCCGTGTCCCCCCATGACTGCTTCTCAGTATCCCTTGCCTCGTTTCTGTACCTGATAATTGAATGGAAAAATAAATAAATAAATCTAACATTATAAAACCTTTTATCTTGATTATGCTTTTTTTAAATAAAATATTTTTTACAAAATTATTTTTTAAATAAAATATATTAAAATAATATTTTTTAATATCAATGTATTAAAATTATTTAAAAATACATTTTATTGTTCTTGAAATAAAATAAAAAAAGTAATTTTAAAAACAGCATGGCTACACACAAATCAATATTCCCACCGCGGCTGCTTTCACCTCTGTCTTGGGATTTGCGTGGAAACCTCCCAATTTCCTCCGTTGATTCCTCTGTCTCCCTATCTAACTCCAGGTCAAAGAAAGTACCGAACAAACAGAGAGATTTCAAAGCTTGAAACTCTTCTGAGCCTGGTCGGTCTCAAATTCTCTCTTCAAGAAAAAATGAAAACCAACACGAACACAAAACTCATCTTCCTTCACCAATCAATACACAAAATCCCTCCTTCCACTCACCGTCTTTGGTTACTCTTCATAGTCACTTTCTTTACCTTAGCTTTCACTCTTACTCTCTTCACCACCACCACATTCCCTACAACCACCACAACTTCAGCCCTCACCACCTCCACCACCTCTCTCGCACCCTCCATCACCGCTGCCCTCCTCCACTACGCTTCCACCACCAACATCACGACACCTCACATGTCATCCGCCGAACTCTCCACCATCGCCATCACTCTCCAACACTGCTCCCCTCATTGCAATTTCCTC